AATTTTGGTGTTTGGTGTGATTCTAGGGTGTCACTTCAAGCTAGCTGAAACCAAGAACATTCAGGTAAGTGCTGGTGCATATTACGTTCTTGCTTTTTGTGTACTCTTGCATGTTTAATTGTCAATGCCAAACAGTGAATGGATACTCATCCAAAATCAATTTTGTGATTTCTTTCAACTATTTGGTATTGTTTCCTTCCCCATTCACATGCAATTCTGTTATGATCTAATAGTTATCCATTTGACGGGTTTCGTTTGTTGCTATAGGTGTTTGCTAAGGACGACATCATGGAGCGCAGCGTATCTGTTCATGAATTTGAGATGCATGAGTGTGATTGATTTAGCCAATGCCCATGGATTTCATAACCCAAGGTAGTATTTCAATTCCAACCTCTATTGCTTTTCAGTTTCTTATTCTATAAGTTCTGATATACCATTTTCATTGATTATAGAGCGTTCATATCAATTAAGAATGTAGGTTTTGTATAGATTTTTGCTACTTCACTGTTTGTTGTCGCTTCAAACCTTCACTTATTCCCTTCCATATCAATGTCAGATTTTGCAGCGTGGGAATTGTGTCCCTTCGATTTACCAGTTTGTCCTTTAGATAGATGTGCTTCAGTAAGATGTTTTGTGTTATGCACTTTTGTTCAGAATTTGTAGTAACTAGGGTAGAAATACACGAAAACGAATACTTGCAGTAGGATTTATATAGAAATTCTCTGAAAAAATACATGTATTGCATTTGAGATCTTCTAAATTAAAGCAGTGGAGTCATGCATTTTATCGGTTAGTATTATGTTCTTCGACTGTGTACTTTTTAGGTTGTGATGTAGAATTTGCATACAAATTTGACTTGCAATGAATTCCTATATTTAGCAGGTGGCAATCTATTCACTTTATGCTCTTGGTTGTGGCCTCTTCAATTTCTTGGCGTCTGAAACAATACTTCCTTTTTATATGACGATGTAATCAGATAGCAAACTTTCCAATTCCTTACTTTGTTATTTTCATGCTTTGTTCCTCGATTGATCTCGGCTCATGAAAAGTGAAGATTGGATTTTTCCTATATGTGTTAGATTAGAGTCTATAGATGTTATTATGGGAAGGAGATGATGTTTCCCTATATACGCTTGATTTACTGACTTGTGAATTGTTGGTTAGGGTGAGGGAATACAATTGATGTGTTTGTGTAAATCATGGACTTGGAGATGGGAGGAAGATTGATTTGGAAACTTGATGAAGGAGTCAGGGAACTAACTCAACTGGTATGTAAAATCCTTGATACCGATTTCCCCCCTTTCCTCTTTGTTTCATAATTCGGCGGGTTCTCTCTAAATCTCCTATTCTTTTGAATGGGAAAATCACAATTTGGTTGCTTTCTTTACAAAATTATTGGTGTTCGATATAATAATTGATTAATGTGCTTAACGTTTGCTTCTTTGAATGCGAGATATTCTCGCACTCAACTTGCTTGCTATGTCTACGTGGTTCTCATATCCAAATCAATCGAGAAATCAAATATCATCTTCAATTTAAGGTTGGTTACTGACTTCCTACGTTAGATTATGTCTGTAAATCCAGCTTTCTTTGGCTCTATACAATTTTGAACTGGTTGGAATAATTACGTTCGTTTCATTGTATCCATCGGTTGGAATGATTTCGAGTTGGTTGATACGCTCTATGAATATTAGGAACATTGGATGCCTGGATGTGAGTTGTTGGATCCCCGATGTTGGGGAGTTTCCCGATTTCTTATACGTTCGAGGTAATTTACTGGTTTATTCAATATGAAAAGTCACTTGAGTCTATGTCTGGTTTTTATTGACACTTGCTTCTCTAAACTAAAAGTAACCAACTCATTCAGTTTTTATATGCTCTGACTTGATAATATGTTGTTGGGAGTAATGCTGCTATGATGTGTCATTGTTTAGCTTCTTTTGATTCTTGGGATGAGTAAATACCATGAATGGTTCTCATAAGTTGTTGGGATGTGAGTAACAGCCTGGTGCTGAACTCTTCTGTTGCTGAATCCTTAATTGTCTGTATAAGAGTTCAATTACAGCTGGTGCTTTGGCTACCTCAGGTTGTTTAGGAACGATTGGCCTTGATTAATAACTAAGTATGCAGAGATTTGAAAGGATATACCATGTTGCCTGGTTCTTATAGAGTTATATTCTGCCTTTGTTTTTTTTTTTTTTTTTTTTTGCAAGAGAATGGCACAAGGGAGGTTGTAAGGGAAATGACGGAGGGTCATTTCTGGCCAGGATAGTGGTGGAGGTAAGACTTGTGAATAGAATAGGGGAGTGAAGGTCCATGCAAAGCAGTCAAAATCGGGATTTTACCTAAAATAGAAAACTGGGGTAAAATCGGAATCGTAAAATCGTAGGATTTTAAGTTCCATATAGAAACTAATATATAATCATATTAATAAGGTAAACCATTACCAACACAAAGGCACATAACATTGAAAATGAGAATTCTCAAGATTAATGTTCCAAGATTATCATTTTAATTGTTATTTAATGCGTAACTAAAATAATTCACGAGGAAATGATAGAGCTCATGGAGCTTGGCTCTTGTTTTTCATGTTGTGTTTAGGTAGTTTAACTCAAAGTAGTACTCCGGTCAGGTTAATTTCAACATTGTCTGTTAATCATGATTTAAAACTAATAATATATGAACTCCAATTGAATAATTAATACTAGTGGCTTGGCAAAAATGTATTCATTAATCAATTATTGAGCTAATAATGATATTAATTCTTCCGCACGTACAATATTAGGAACGCTATTTTGCCTTTGAGTTCAACGGGATGAAGGGAAAGAGAATGACCGAACCATAATTTGGTTATTTTTTTCTTTTCAAATGTTTTTTAATAGGAAAAGTATTTGAGAAGATTCTCATCATTGTCCTTTCTGCCAATTCAGCTCCGCTTTTTTAAAATTTGTTCAAACAACCTATTTTGTTCTCATACGATTTTAATCCCGATTTTGGTAGGATTTTACGATTTTAACGATTTTAATCCCGATTTTGAAGGAGAACGCTTTAACACGAAAACCATTGGTTTCCAAAATGGGATCTACAATTCGCTCAGAGGCTGAAATCGAAAGGTAGGTGCTGACCTTCATCTTCTGTTTTCAATTTCTACTCTCTTGGTCAGGGGAGTTTGTTTAATCTTCCCATAGGAAATATTGCCTGTGGTATTACAGATTGCGCTCATCAGATGTCATTGTCGAATGCCTACTGAAATTTCATTCTTAACCTTCATTCTCCAATTTTTCTGTGTTTGGGTTTGTTTTCCCATCTCTTTTCTATTGACGATCCTTATTTGTCTGTATACTGAGTTCGATTACAGTTGGTGGTTTAGCTATCCCTGGTTGTTTAGGCGGTATTGACCTCAATTAACAACAGTATCTAGAGATTTTAAAGAATACCATGTTGTTGGTTCTTATAGGGTTATCTGATTGATTTGTTGCTTTGGTCTACAAAATTTTAAACAATTATGCCATGCTACCTTCTTACTTCTTAGGGAGATGAAACTTTCAATGTTGTACCTGAGAAAGTCACGGTTGATTCCTTTATCTTCTTTACCTTATGTTGCATTCTGTGTTGTTCGAATCACAAGATATTTTATGCATGGTTCCTCACCTCATTTTGCTTACATCACAATGAATACGACAAGGTTGGTGTAATGAAAATGTGAAGCTGAGAAGCGGTGTCTTTGATAATTAAAAAAATCCTACTTGCTTGATATTATTGTCGGCAAAAGAAATGTCTTGCTCCCTATTCCAGTTAAGTAGTCTTTCCTGCTTATTTTTGCTAACAGAATGTGGAATTGGGATCTTCTCATTGTTGGAATTAGATGGCACTGGGAACACGCATCGTGGGACTCTAAAGCTCATTAGTAATGATTAGATGCGCTGTATTTGTATCGAAAATTGCTTTTACTTATCCAATTTCTATACATGTGCAGCAGGTGATGGGGATGATGTTTGTAGACTCTTGGGTTATAAACCAATGTGGCCTGGAGTGCAGGATAATGGAAGCTGCTATATGTTTCAAGAGCTGTAAGGTAGGAAGACTGGGTTTTTTCTTCTATAATCTGATTGGGAATATGGTAATCAGTGAGATATGGAGAGAAAGAGGTGCAGGAGGCTGTATGGAGGAAGATGTATGCAATGTGTAGAACTGCTGAAAATGATGCAACAGGTTTTGGAGTGAAAGATCCTTGCCAGCTTGAAAACAGAAGAGTCTGCTCAAAGGAAGATGCTGTGGTTTCAGTATTAGATTGTTCCATTCTAATATCTTCTATGTACATAGGGATAGGGGTCCATATTTGTGTAAATTGCCCTATGTTTTTATGAGTTTAAACTGGTTGTAGTTTGCTCTCATGTGGAGCTTTTTTTATGAAATAAAGCCTGTTTTTCATTAAAAAAAATTCTAAGACTCTCCGTCTTCAACTTCTTACACCTATTGGCATTGTCACAGAGCCGCATGAGCTGCCTCAATCTGGTGAATATGAACTCCACATTCATTCCCAGCTTCTGAAAAGTTAACAATGTGCTCTCATTTTCCTATACCAAACAATCTCACCATTCTACTGGTAGCGACAAGGAGAAACAACCGATTTCGAAATCCACAACAACTTTAGTGTTTCTGAGATCCAAAAAAACGTTAATATTTTATAAAGTCGAATTTTCTAGAAATTGAGTAATGTACCCCCGCCGCGCAGCGCGGGCTCTCTATCTTTTCATAACATAAAATGTAGAGCAATGAAATTCCACTTTAAATGCAACCCAATATCTAAACTGGGAAGAAGAAATCAAATAAATACATACCACACTATACCCTCAATAAATTGACCATAAAAAAAATAAACCTACTATTCAAACGAAATATAGGGCACACTTCATTTTCCGTATAAAAAAACCCCAAAGAAAAAGCAGCAAATTGTGAGTGCATCGCACCATTAGCCTTCCTTGAATCACTTGTTTGTTTTCATTATCTACAGTTTATTTCATTGTCTTCTTCATTTGATCATCCTCCTCTAATGTTGATGAAAGGCCAGACTGGAGCAAAGAATCTCTACCCAAAAAAAAAAAATATGAGGGAGGAGGTATATTAACATTTTCCCAAATGACCATCAAACAAACCAAAAAAAAAAAAAAGAGGACCAAAGACCAGAAAAAAAAAATCAAAACATCCTATTCTCTTTTCTTCTTTCCTCTTCTATTCACAGCATCATCATCACGATCAACACCAACACCAAAACCCTCCACCAAACTCTCAACACCACCGCCGTCGCCCCGCTACCAACGTCGGCAATCATCACCGGAAACAAGCAATCCCCATCGGACGGATCCTCCATGGTGATTAATCCCAGCCCAGAGAAATCACAGCCCCAGTCTTTCTGCCCATTCATCTGGTAGTACATATTGAACGCATACGAAGCATTCCCAGCCACACTCAAATGATTGCACGAGCATCCATATTCAAGCGCAGTACAGTCGCTCAGCCCACAAGCGTAATCCATGCTCTTCGACAGATCACTCAAATCAATCGCATCAGGCCTCAGAACGCACCATCTCCTCTCCATGTAGTTCACTCCATCGACTGCAATCAGACCTGTATCTTCACCATACCCATTCAAATCAAGCTCGTACTTAGGCTTCCCGTCGTACTCGAATATCCCCCAGTGCCTCTCGAAGTTCCCTGGAGCCACACTCTTTCCATTCTCATCGATCAAGCTGAATAAGAACACCTCGATCTTGTTCACTGGCCTCGCCGGCGTCCCGTTCCCATCTACAATGTGTTTGAGAAGGCCCTGGCATATTGGGTTTTAAGGAATTGTAAGTTTCAATATAACTTGATCGATAATAGCTACCTAGAATGTAATGAAAGATACAGTCTTTTGACTCTTTCCCCTGATACCTGATTGAATCTCTTGGCGTTCTCTACAGTGGCGTGGAGGTCGCCATCGGTGGGCCAGCCTACTTCTCCGACGATGATGGGCATGTCCGGGTACCCTGACTTGGTAAGAGACCAGACCAAAGTGTCGAAGTTTGCGTCGAAGACATTGGTGTAGAGCAAGTCGCCGTCTTTGATGGGTTTGTTTGTGTTGGTGGCGTCGTCGAAGAAGGCGAAGTCGACGGGGAAGTAAGGGTTTCCGTAGAGGCTGAGAAAGGGGTAGATGTTGACGGTGAAGGGCGCGTCGTTTGAGTGAAGGAATTGGATGATTTCGAGGGTTAGGTCTTTCACTTCTGGCCGGAAGTCTCCCGCCGACGGGACTTGGTCGGATTCAGGGGAGTTGTAGACGTCTGCGTTGAACGGCACCGTGGCTTTCACCTTGTGCCCCACCCCTGCTTTGTTGAGTGCGTTCTGGATGTTTCGTAGAGCTGGTAAGGTGTACTTGTCGAAGGTTCCGTTGTACGTTTGGAGGAACGGCTCATTGCCCACTGCAACATACCTGCAAAAGAGAAGAAGAGAAAAAACAAACTGGGTCAGCCAGAAATCGGTGCTTGATTCTCGTCAGAAGCCCTCAGGGACAAATCGTCGAGCAGGTGGAAGACATTGATCAATGATCACCACCAAAATCCTACCAAGTCAAAGGTTGTAAACTCTCAGGGGAAAATAATCGAACAGATTCAGGGCAAAAGGATAAACACTCGCTTGGAAGACATTGATCGCCAAAATGCTACCAAGTCAAAGGCTGAAAATCTCAGGGGAAAATGATCGAACAGATTCACTCGCTTCTCGCAGGGGTGCTTAATTCTAGTCAGAAACTCTCACAGGGGAAAATGATCGAACAGATTCAGGGCAAAAAGAGAAACCACTCATTTCTCGCAGGGGGTGCTCAATTCAACCCACAAACTCTCTCAGGGGAAATTGATCGAACAGATTCAGGACAAAACTACAAGCAGCAGCCACAATTACTACAGAAACAGGAAGGAAGAATGGAGAACTCAACTTGACGTTGACGCCGCCGTGGAAGCACCAGTCGGTGACATTGGCCTCGACCCAAGCCTTGGCGGCGTGGCGATCCTCCGCCATGGTCCGCAGCATGTAATTAGGAATGGCGAGCATGACCTCAATGTCGGTCTCGAGGAGGGCGGTCATGATCTGCTCGTCGAACTCGAAGAGCTTGAGCTTGGGGAACTTGTTGGCGACCAACATTTCAACCACCCTCTCCGGAGGGAGCTGGTGCGTCGACATCGTCCCCCAGTTCACCCCGATGTTGCTCCCCCTGCCACCGTAGTAATCCGCCGCCGCCGTCCCGCCGAAACAGAGCAGAAGCAGGAGAAGGGAGAACAGGGTCGCGAAGAAGAAGAAGAAGTAAAGCTCGCTCCCGGATCTCGAACCTTCCATCATTGTGCTGGAGAGGAGATTAATGGCGGTAAAGGGAGAGGGAAGGGGAGATTGTGAATTGTACCTTGAGGGATATATATAGAGTTTGGCTGACTGGCCGGGTGAGTGTAGTGGAAGATTACGCTGGCTGGATTTTCTTTTCTGTGTTTGGCTTTTGAGAATCTTCATGGGTAAGGAGAGGAATTGATTGGGTGGCTGTGCTGCTGGTTGGATTTGGGTTGCATGGGAGTCAAAAAGCGGACTGTAAAACTCTGTGAAGGGACAGAACAGAAGAAGAAGAAGAAGAAGAAGATTGGAGGTTCGCTGGCTACAGTTATTCAGTTATGGTCACGCGATCATGCATCCTTCTTTCTCCAAGGTGTCTCATTGACACGATATGCTTTTGAGTTCATTTCGTATAGTTTATCGTTCTGAGAAAAATATTCTCATTATTATTGACAGGGTCATAAAATTGAATCAATCAATATAACTTCCGACATATTTGTTGCGGTAATACATACATTCAATATGATTATTATGTCGCGTTGACCGTTTTTTGACCTTTTCGTGATTGGACATCTTTGATTGCAAGGCCACCTCGAGTAACCTCGTTTTGAACTATAATATTAGATCGTCAGATTCGCAGTATAGCAACACTGAGAATCCGAGACCGTGAAGTAGCCAAGTAGTAATATGGTTGAGGCTCAAGAATTCTTCTTAAGAGTGTTTGGTTATTCTAATAGGTTAGGTCGATTACGGTTATGTCACCATCTATATATTGTAGCTCAGTTTTTTTTACCAATGGTTCACTTGTATTTCCAAGGCAAAAAGCTAGCAAAGTTTACAAACCAAGTAAAAACCAACGTTCAAAATCAAAACTATCTACAATCGCGGGCAACAAAGAAAGAGTCATCCTAGCCACATCATGGGCCACCCGATTGTTACTAATGTCGAAGCCTCACAATCTCCTCAAGAATCCGTCCTCCCTTCACATCTCGTATATCCATCTTTTGAATTTTCTAGATAACTACCTTTGCATCTCCACATAACTTCAATTCAGTAAGACTCTTCAAAGAACACCAATAAATCGCATTCAAAAAAACTACCAATTCCACCTAAAACGGATTTTCCATACCTGCATAATAAAATCCTTTACATAACAAATACCCCCAAGGCATCACAAACCACCAATCCCTGTGTAGCTCAGTCTTTACGTTACAATTAATTAGAAATCAATAAACAAAACATATTAAATTTATCCCTTTTCTCTCCTAGTTCCTATTTCGCAATTCATGTTCTTCCCCAAATCCTTCCATAATTCTTTAATTTCTAATTCTAATTCTAAGTCTCAGTTCCAGTTCTCTTATATCCCAATCTTGTTACAGTTATCGAGAGTGTCCAAGAATATCTGTATTTCTTACAAATACTATCATAAAAGCCTTATTTTGCCTAATTAATATTGCAATTTTCTCTGGTTATTCAAAAGTGTGTATCCAGCTACCGTTTTACAAAGACGGTCTTTTTTCTATATTTTGGGTCACTGATGTTTAATACAATCAGCTTTCATCTCTATCTTCATCTTTACCGAAAGCAAAGAAATGATCAGCTACCAACTTGGGTGTGCTAATTGCTAAGTATGCTTAATTGATTAATAAGTATCTTTACTTTAGACAAAAAGTCCCCTTAATTATATTATATTTTATCTAATGACGGTGAGTGAAGTCAGTGAAATAGGAAGTGTTTGCTGACCGACTGAGTTAACATTTGCCTTGGCAAACCAATAGTTGATTAGTATACGAATCAAGTTGGCTAAGTGTGGTGGCAAAATCAGTCCTTGTGGATTGCTTAAGGACTATAGGTTGAAATGTACAATGGTAACTATAGGTTGAAATGTACCAACATCGCTCGATTGTTTGCGTAGATGCAATGTGGTTACTCGAGTTTGGATGCCTTGATGCAATGGCCCTTATTGCTTGCCTTGATGCAAACCTCGAATTTTAGGTCTTGTTCATAGGATAGTTAATGTAATGTATCTATACGGTTTCAATTTCAATCCTTATCAATGGATATCATATCATGTTACTTGTGATCGACTCCTATATTGCAACCCATATAAAAGGTTCCTTGATCATGTTTAATCGATGGTCGATCTCGACTTTTAATTATCTTCAAAAAAGAATTCATATTATACGACACTGATCATCTAACACGTCAATCTCTTCTTTGTTATGTGTAACGCGTCACCTCTGTAAAACAGCTATGCCTTATCCCATTTCTACTATTGTTTGACTCAAGTTAAACACACTGGTGAAACTGATGAACAATTGATTCAAGAAACGAAGCACAGTTTCACCAGATTGACAGAAACTCTAAAATTGAATTAAAAGGGTGCAGAAGAAAAGCAACAAGCAACGCTCTATGCCCAGATTGCGTAGAGTTCTTGGCTAACGCCCCAACTCTACTAATCCAGACACTTAAACAAGAACCCAATCCAACTCTCCCTAAGAACTGACCAGTTCTTCCTGAGCAGTGGAAACCGTTGCTAGTCTCCTTCCTTGCGATGTCCTTAAGTAGGCTCCTGAAGCGAGCTCTCGATCTCTCTCTTCTTCAATGATTTTACCGTTGACAGAGATTTTGAATGGCTTGATTGATGAAGTCTTTTATCGGTGCTGATGCTTCTTCTTGATGCTCTGGTAATTAGGTATATTAGAATGAAGGAGAAGACGCTTTTGGTGATCTCGACGACGACCGAGTAGTAGCGTGGGCTTTGAGTGATGAGGCCTTTTGATATGATCCGTCGAGATGACTATGGGCCAGGGCCCAACAATCTCCCCTGCGTTCAAGCCTTCATTCCTGTCAATGAACACAGCACCATCAAAGTATCGAGTGTGCAGTTTTCTCAGATCATATGCTAGGAGCTTTTCTTATAAAACATCATGACTGAGCTGTTCACCTCCTCTAACATTCCCGGTGCAATTGTCACCTATGTTGGGAGAACTTTCAATGAGCCCATCGACTTCAATCTCCATAGATTCAAAGAATTCTTTGCTTCCCGCAGACTTACTGATCCCATATCACTCGATCTTTATGAGTTCAAAGCCTTATGAATCGACATTACACCCTTCATTGGGAACCTGGGTTGGGAATTCCTCCTCCACTATCCTCCACTTGCTGCTTGTCCACTACCTGTCAGGACATTCTATGCAAACCTTGATTGTCAAGGGATCACCACCAGAAAACTAACTACCCTTGTGAATGGCTACTTTATCTCTCTCACTGCTGAGGCTATTGGAATTCTGCTTAACCTCCCAACTGGAGGACCTCTGCCTTTGGCTCATGAGGATGAATTCCTCTTCTATGACTTTGATCATGAGATTGAATACTCTCGCATCACTCAGCGACGAGTTGGGGCCAATGAAATCATCACCTCTGCCGATCTGAACCCCACACTTCGCACCCTCCACTATTTTATCACTCATTTTTTTCTACCTCGCACTCAAGGGCTTCACATTGTTACCAAACTCGACCTCTGGGTCCTTTCCAATGCCCTCACTAGATGCAAAATTGACTATTCCCAACTTCTTTTTTGGCTCCATTGTTCGAAGTGTTGATGCTCATCTCGATGGTCGCCTTCCCTATGGAGGCTTCATCACCCTGTTGCTATCCAATCTCGGTTTATCCCTCGATGGATACTCCTCTGTCGAGACTTCTGTCTCTGTCTCGGCCCTCACTGTCCTCAACTATATCGGTGTTGACCCTCAGCCTTCGAAAGGGGGAGAAACCCTTGACCCAGCAGCTGCCAGACTCATCAAATATAAGTCTAAATCCCTGCAACTTGGGGACTCATCTTCATCTGTTCGCAAAAATCAGATTGTCTCGTTTGAAGAAGAAGAAGCTGAACTTAAACCAAAAACTGTATCTGAAAAGGATGTCAGACTGTTTGCTGAAGAGCTTGAGAAGGATATGATGGAAGGAGTGGTTGGAACTCAGGGGGAGGATGAGATGGAAGGAGTGTCTGGATCTCAGGGGGAGCCAAAACAAAATTCTGTGCCAGAAGATTAACCTTGAGGAGAAAATCATCGAAATAAGAAAAATCTAATCTGCTTTGTGTTTTTCTGTTTAGACTGCACTATGTTTTTCTGTCTTGATCTGCTTTAAAGACCATAATGGTCTAAGTGTGGTGTCTTTCTGTTCAAAAGACCATAAAGGTCTAAGCAAGGTGTTCAATGATAAGTAAGTCCAGAATAAATGATCATAATGATTATGGTTTAATGGATGTCTCTGTTTCCCTCATCGTGACTAAAGCTGGTTTACATTCTTGTTTTGAAATCTTAAAAATAAAAAGCTCCTAGCATATGATTTGAGAAAACTGCACACTCGATACTTTGATGGTGCTGTGTTCATTGACAGGAATGAAGGCTTGAACGCAGGGGGAGATTGTTGGGCCCTGGCCCATAGTCATCTTGACGGATCAGATCAAAAGGCCTCATCACTCAAAGCCCACGCTACTACTCGGTCGTCGTCGAGATCTCCAAAAGCGTCTTCTCCTTCATTAGCACACACAGAAGTAAAAGCTATAGACTTGTTCTTTTTGTCATGAAGAGAGTTCATTTGTTTCAGAACTTCCTCATGACTAAGAAGGGATCCAATCAAGTTTTCTAAGGACAGAATGTTCAGATCTTTAGCTTCCTCTATAGCAGTTCTCTTAGCCATCCATTCAAGAGGAAGGGATCTAAGGACTTTTCTCACTAGTTCTTTGCTAGAGAAGGTTTTTCCTAGTCCTTTGAGTCGATTAACTAAAGTAGAGAATCTTTTATCCATTTCAGAGATAGATTCTCCTGATAACATATCAAAGGTTTCATATTCTTTTAGAATAAGATCAATTCTAGTTTCTTTCACTTTTGAAGTTCCTTCATGAGTTGATTCTAGAATTGTCCAAATTTCTTTGGCAGTTTCGCATTTGTTAACTCTTTCACCTTCATCATCTGATATAGCAGATAATAAGATGTGCATAGCCCTAGAATCTAGTTGAGCACTTTTCTTTTGTTCATTTGACCAATCCTCCTCATCATCTTCTTTCATTTCAATTGGTCCATTGCGGACAATTGCCCACAAATCACAGTCGATTCCTCGGAGGTAAAGTCTCATGGTCCAAATTTCTTTGGCAGTTTCGCATTTGTTAACTCTTTCACCTTCATCATCTGATATAGCAGATAATAAGATGTGCATAGCCCTAGAATCTAGTTGAGCACTTTTCTTTTGTTCATTTGACCAATCCTCCTCATCATCTTCTTTCATGTCAATTGGTCCATTGCGGACAATTGCCCACAAATCATAGTCGATTCCTCGGAGGTAAAGTCTCATTCTTTTCTTCCATACAGAATAGTTTGTGCCAGAAAACCAGGGTGGATTTGAACTAGTAGGGAATGAGTTAGAAGACATAGCAATGCAGAGGATCTCCTTCTTGGCAACTCTAAGTTCCACGAAAAGGGGGCTCTGATACCAATTGTAAAATAGCTATGCCTTATCCCATTTCTACTATTGTTTGACTCAAGTTAAACACACTGGTGAAACTGATGAACAATTGATTCAAGAAACGAAGCACAGTTTCACCAGATTGACAGAAAATCTAAAATTGAATTAAAAGGGTGCAGAAGAAAAGCAACAAGCAACGCTCTATGCCCAGATTGCGTAGAGTTCCTGGCTAACGCCCCAACTCTACCAATCCAGACACTTAAACAAGAACCCAATCCAACTCTCCCTAAGAACTTACCAGTTCTTCCTGAGCAGTGGAAACCGTTGCTAGTCTCCTTCCTTGCGATGTCCTTAAGTAGGCTCCTGAAGCGAGCTCTCGATCTCTCTCTTCTTCAATGATTTTACCGTTGACAGAGATTTTGAATGGCTTGATTGATGAAGTCTTTTATCGGTGCTAATGCTTCTTCTTGATGCTCTGGTAATTAGGTATATTAGAATGAAGGAGAAGACGCTTTTGGTGATCTCAACGACGACCGAGTAGTAGTGTGGGCTTTGAGTGATGAGGCCTTTTGATCTGATCCGTCGAGATGACTATGGGCCAGGGCCCAACAACCTCACTAGAGACACAATTGGGAAAACGTCCTAAGTTGACATTTTTACCCTACCTAGCTACTTGGTTCTTAATTAGGGTTAGACCTAACAAAAACCCTTAAGCCATTGCCAATCATCCATGATAAGCCACCCTTTTTGCAATTGCCTCCTGAGAGAAAAGGCCAATTACAACTTGGCATAGGATACATAGAAGACAACAAAGTAGAAAAGAAGCAAAGATTCAGAAGTGGAAGACATGGTCATGGTCATTACTTTGCTTAACTAAGCTGAAAGGCTATTGACTGAACTGATGACTGATGACCCTGTCAATATTTTATGCAATCTTTCTTTCCGATTCTTTTGCCCATAAGGATGGATAGGAATTAGGGGAAAGACGCCTTCTTTACAAAACCAACTTTCCAGCTTCAGTCTACGTGCCTCGTTATCTTCTGGCTCCCCCTTTCTTCTCAAAGTTGTGGCCTTTCCCTAACATGGTGGTGGTAGCCGTACACAAAGGGCTTCATTATCACCATAAATATATTTGCGGAGGCAAAAAGGACTTTAGTTCGACAGTATATTCTTCCAACCCAACAGCAAATCCTATCCCATGTTCACATTTTGCCTCCTGACTTCTCCCACGAGTCCTATAAGCTCATCCATCTAACCCTCCATGAGAGTGGAACTTGAATGTGGGTTCCAAAAATAGTAACAATATCAGAAGAAGGGTATGGACTGTGACCTGACTACAGATTGAATCACATTCCTGGGGAAAACTTTGAAACACATGTCGAAAAGCTCTGGTGTAGCTGGAAAGGGTACTTGATAGCAACAACTTGGGTGACTAGACTCGCAAAAACCATGGCGGATATGCTTTTTAGCTCGAAGATTGATCAACAAGTCTCTAAATTGTGGTCGCAAGTCAGGTGGGGGCATCGTCTGTGAAGCATCCTTCTGGCAATCTGAAGGTTAAGCAAAACATAGCCTGCATGCATGGTTAAGGGAAAACGTGGTGAGGATTTCTATGAGAAGACCCTACTTGCTTCCGAGAAAAGGTAGCAAGATTCTGAAAGTTTATTTTATCACAAGCAAGAGGGCGAAATGGAGGTTTTCACATTTTTCTTTTTTTACCTTGTTCGGAGCAACATCCCTAACTCGATGCAATATAGGATCTTTTATCTGAGCACCCAGGGCAGATTCGGCCACCTGGAAAAGGAATTGTAATTTTTTTTATGAATGCTACATGGAGAAAAATCGGTTCATTATCAACTCCCTCAAGAATGCCGCATGAAAAGGGTAGCTGATGATTTATCAGCAGAGCGACACTTAAAACTGCAGTTTCTAGGAGAGTTTGAAGTAAGGAGAAACAATAAACATAATCAGAAATAAAGAACCTTAATTATCATTTCTTGGGTTTCATTTGCCCGAATGAAGCAATAGCAGTGAATCAAGGGAAGATCACCCTGCCAGCATTGCCTGGGGATTAGCTTCGTAAACGCATCTGAAAGAGAAGAAGAAGAAGAAGAAGAAGAAGAAGAAGAAGAAGAAGAAGCATTAGATTAGGGTTTCCATCTCAAACATCTTACGACCCATCCAAAAGACAACAGGCATAATAAACACAGGACAATAATTGTTATTTGCATGTACCAAGAAACTCTATGGCAGAAGCAGGGAGGTTCATAATCACATGATCAACATGCTCCCAAGTGTTGGGATTGGGCAACTCGGAGAGCTTTATCCTCTTGTTCTTCCTACCTTTACCCGCCGCTCCAAGGTCTTTCGCATTTTCTACAATAAGAAAATAATAATATTAGCATTCAAGATGCTGACAGACATTTCAGTGACCCACAAATCAAACTCTGTTCTTTACCAACCTTCACCACAATAATCTTGAGTCCCTTTGACAGAAGCAGTGGATGCAGCATCAGGTGAATCCTTTGCCCCAACTACAGAATATGACAGAAGTTTTGAGAGAAAAGTAACACAAATGGGATCAATAATACATACCAATATGAATACATGTTACCTGCCACTTGCTCTTGGTCTCTTTTCATATCTTCAACAGTCTCTACTTTAGAGACCACTGGTTTGTCTTCATGAGCTGCTGGCAGCGTCATAAGCTGGGCCATGAATTTCCTAGCGTCCATATTAAAGGCAATTACAAGATCATCAACCTTGTTAACTTTGGCATTGATCTTCAAATAACGAACACTGTCGGGATTCAGATCATTTGCATAAACAATGCATCCTTTCTGTGCTGCAGGAACAGCAAAAGGACCAATTCCAGCAAACATGTCGCATATGATCTCCCCAGGTCGAAATTGAGACACTAGTCTTATGTGTTCATGCTCCAATCTCGAATTCCAATAAACCAAACCGTAGTCAAGTTTGAACGTAGCTCCATATTGCTTAACTTCCGTGACCATATCACTGTCTCCAGCCAGGATCTCAAACTTGGGAACTCGAAACTCGTTCGATATAGATCCGACTTTATTGACAATAGTTCTGATCCTGGGATGATTTTTCTGCCACAATCCACATATCTAAGTATCACTTTCTTTTTCTTTTTTCCAATTCAAACATTATATGATCGAAATATATGAAAAGCAGCTGACAAAGAACCCAAGCAGATCAACAAAAAGTGTTTTCGCTAATAGCACTAGAAAATACACTCAAATTGCACTATATATAATAACATCCTAGACAAATGTTATTTCACTAATAACAAAGATAATAAATTTCCTTGAATAATCATTGAAGTCGAGACCATTTCCATCATAAACTACAATAACTTAAAGCTTGGGCACCAGTATGTATTTGTTGAGCATACGAAATGAATGAAGTGCAGTTTTTAATAAAGCTTTTTTTGGGGTAAACTAGAAACTTACATCATAAATAACCTTGGCAATGACATCCTTGAATGGTAGCAGTTCATCATGTATATTTAAATGAGCAATGTGACCTGCAGATAGAAGGAGCAGAGATGAAACTTGTCAGGGCTTAGGTTCCACCTCCTATCTATGAAGCTAAACTACTGCAGTGCATGCTAAAACATATCCACGACAAAAATCAGCAATATCAAGCTTTCTCTCTAAAAGCTATCAGGTATATGCAATGTCATTTGCTAAGTCTAATGGAAACCTAAGAATGATAAATACTCAACTATTGTCTCGAACGACGAAGGCACCTCAACTCCAGCT